ACATTCACACTTACACTAACAGCTCCCTCACACACACAGCACCCCCAGACACACACAGCACCCTCACACACACCACCCTCACTCACACAGCACCTTCAGACACAGCACCCAGACACACACCGCACCCTCAGACACACACAGCACCCCCACACACGCACAGCACCCAGACACACACAGCACCCCCAGACACACACAGCACCCTCAGACACACACAGCACCCCCAGACACACACAGCATCCCCAGACATACACAGCACCCAGACACACACAGCACCCCCGGACACACACAGCACCCAGCGCACCCAGACACACACAGCACCCCAAGACACACACAGCACACCAAGACACACACAGCACACCAAGACACACACAGCGCACCCAGACACACACAGCGCACCCAGACACACGCAGCGCACCCAGACACACGCAGCACCCTCAGACACACATAGCACCCTCAGACACACAGCACACAGCACCTTCAGAGACACACAGCACCCTCACTCACACACAGCACCCTCAGACAGACAGCATCCTCGCTCACACATACAGCACACTCCCACACATATACAGCACACACACACACATTATATATATATATAATAACTCTCAGTGAGTTAACAGACAAAGAAAATTAGAAACCTAGAATGTGACGGCAGATAAAAACACACAGCACTCCTCTTACATACACACACACTGCGCCCCTCACACATACAATACGTCCATATATATATATATATATATATGTATATATATATATATATATATATATATATACACACACACACTACAGCACCCCTCACACTGCACCACTACACACATTACGCTCCAGATACACGCTAGATCCCTTACCCTATATGCACTCCTAATCATCTACACACACACACACACACAATCTCCTATACACACTCTGGATCCTTTACACACTAGATCTCCTACACACACACACTGCACCACCTACACACAAACTACATTCCTTGTCAGCTAACACATACAACATTCTCTAAACACACCCTCTCTACAACCCCTACACACACTACGTCACTTATACACACACTACAGCCAGTATGCACACACTCTCTACATCCCCTATAACACTATGCCCCCTATACACACACTCTCTACAGACCCTAGCCACAGATATTACACCACAAACACAAATGAAATTGACCTATTTACACAATACCACACCACACTCTACACACACGCAATCCCACAAGCATGCTCCACACACATGTACCATATACTTTCCTGGCCCTTTTGTCCTCTGGTATCCCACTTGTGGAGACACCAGAGACAATTTAAAAGCAAACACAGCGCAAGCATGTTATTAAATTTGCTTGCGCTGCGCAGAACAAATTCAGGGTCTTTTTCTAATGCCAGAGCTCTTCAGCGGGGCTCTGCGCATTGAACCAACATGTTCACTTTGAGAGGGGGCGTGCTTGTAATTGGTGATGACAAAACACACCCTCTCTGCCCCCCCCCCCTTCTTAGGGGGCCGCTCTGATTGAAAAATGCCCGGGCCTAATTTTTTTCCCAGTCCGGCCCTGGGCAGATTGATTTATCATGATGGGATACCCCTGTAGAAGGCACAAATCAGTGGGCAATCTCAAGGTTACAGGGCAAAAAAATCAGACCATAGTAGTAGGCAGTGTTCACAGAAACCCTGCAGAGTTGTAATCTGAACAATGGTCAAATAAAATAGACTGGGGCTCACTCAATAAAAAGAGGCTGCAACAGCATTCCTCCACTCAGCAGCACACATATTGTAGGGGCCTCACCCTAGATGCACAGGGTATGAACCCTTAAGTGCTGGCCACAGCCCTGATAGAGAGCATCAATCAGTTCTCCAACAAGTAAATTCACTGTAATGGGAGATATTCCTTTAAGCAAGAAGTGCTGCAAATTCCATCAAGTAGTTAACCGAGGCTGCCATAGCATGTCTCCATTCAGCAGTATACTGTAACATAGACATAGCTGGGGATTCACCCCAGGTGCAAGGGGTATGAACCCTTCAAGTGTGGGTCATGTCCTTGATAGAGTGCACTAATCTGTGCTCAAACACTCACTTAAAGGTCATGGGGTATATATCTTTAAGCAGTATGTCCTAGAAATCCTGTTCAGCAGCTGTAATAGCCTGACTCCATTCAGTAGGACAATGTAGTAAAGACATAGCCAGGGAGTTAAACCCAGTTGTACAGGATGTGAACTCTTGGGTGTGTATAACAGTTAATCTGAGGTTAATGGGTGATATCCATTTAAACATCTAATATAACTTGTGTAATTCAACATTAACATGTAAGTATGGTACAGAAGAATACTTACCTGTACTTGGATTCAAACTTGGGACCTTAGGATCCAACATCTGTGTCAGAGCCACCTGAACTGTGAGAGCAGCTAGGGCTAAGCTGGCAGCTTGGCAAGCATAGCCTACTCCCAAGCGCCGAAATCAAGGTGCGCAGGTGTAGCAAGATAGCCATAGAAGTGAGTGTAAGGAGGGGAGGGCCAAGTACCAAGAATAAGGTAAAAAAGTAAAAGATAATATAGAAAAACCTCCAGATGCCCATATTATAGAAGCACAGCAAAACAAATAGCAAAGCATGTTGAAATACAATCCAAAAACAACCCCAAAGAGGCAATAGAAACATAAATTAATTAAATGAATTAATTAATCTGTATTTGGGCTGATGTGTACTATGGTCGTTGCTGCCCCCCAGGAGTAATGGGAGTTTGAACGCAGGACTTGTTTTTTTGTATTTGTTACTCACAAATATATTTCAGTAAAAAATTTAATAATTTTTATTTATTTTTTCAATACCCACTGTTTGTGCCAAAATTGTATTTAGTGTGGAGCACTAGAAAATATATACAACACTTACTATTAGAGTAATTGGCAATATAACTCCAATATGGTACATAAAACAAAACAAAACAAAATAATTAATAAATTCAATAATGTGAAACCAATAATGTGATTTTTGTATTCACAATCTATGTAACCAATGAGTAGGCTCTAATCTTTCATGTTTCTAGGCCTTTAAGGCATCTTTCATGTTTCTTAAAGGCACAGAAACATGTAAAATTAGAGCCGTTTCAGGCTCTATCACATGTGAGTGTATTCTACTCATTCTACCAAGAAAATAATATGTAAAGAACACAGAATAGTGTAGTATCCTCCAGTTATAGAAGAAGCATGTATAGATAACTTGCTCACCAAGTCAGAAGCCTTAATCCCATCTCCAAGTTCTATAGTATTGTAACAGTTAGGTGGCACTCCTTATCTGCAATACTGCTCCACTGATGCTGGACAGAAAATCCACCTTCCAATAGGTTTAACTCCACATGTTTATTTTCCAAGCTTGAAACCATACAAATGAAACATGCAAACAAAATAAAACAAAAAGAAGAAATAGAGATCCAAATAAAATCACTGGGTCAAAAACATATTTTGCCATCGTGTTGTTTTTTTAATTGGAAATTCCAATTAAAACATTAAACATAGTCTAACATTGTATGAAAAAACAGCACCACAGACACTGTAACCACTTCAATGAAATGAAACAGTAAGGGTGACTACTGTATTCTTTTTATTCTTATGACTTCTGCACATATAATGGGCACTGGTCAGAACTGAATATTTTTGTTTTCTCTTTATCAGGGAGTTAGTTAAATTGTATGAGAGCCAGGAAGTAGGAGCTTTGACACTGTGTGTGCAACTCAACAGCCATGGGCAATCTTCCCAGGTTATCTAAGGTTAGCATGTTATGTGTGCTGAGCTGTGTGTGCTGACACCAGGTGCACAAAATAGATATTACAAGACGGGAAGATAATATTCCAGTTGACTGACAGCCCAGGGAGGCACACACACACACACACACACACACACCCAAAAGAAATATATATATATTTCTCCATAAGTAAACATTTTCAAAATGAATGGCTGCAAGGACTGGGTCACTGCACCATAACCAGTTCAGTAAAATCAACTGTTTTAGTTATTTAGAGTGATGCAAGACCAGCCCTTCTTACAAACGCTGTATAGTCCACTAATTGGCTATACCAAAAAAACTAGTATATTACATTAATTACAGCATCTATATTCATGTGCTAAACAAAGAATCTTGTTTAGTTTTCTAGATACATATTGTAACAGAAAATATATATTTCTAGCATTTCTGTTTGGTTTTGGGATTTGTAACATATGCACCAGCGGCTGTCACAGCAGAAGGTCCTGGAAAACAACAGTTTTTTGGTTTTTTTAAATCCATTTTACATTGGAGTTTGCATTATGGACAATTAAATATTATTAATTCAACTTTTTCTAACACAGACAGAATTTGCAAACGTGAAATTAAGGAGGATTAACACTGTGCGGCATCACTAAGAGATCCAATAGAAAAACGAGTAGATGCAGATGGTGGAAAATACAAAGTAACATCAAGAGAGAAAGACCCAAAATGGAAAATTATGACTACAGATTGTGAGAGGGAAAAGCTGGGGTGTTCAACATAAGCACAAGTTAGCCCAAGGAACTTGACAAAAATGGTATTTCAATCTCCAATTCAGCCTTTTGGAACTAAGGGCCATTTACAAAGCCCTAACATCTTTCAGGGAATATTTGATATTGAAATCCCTGAAGGTCCATGTGGACAATGTAACAGCCAAGGCTTATATGAGTCACCAAGGTGGGATGAAAAGCAAGAGCATAATACAGGAGACAACCCCAATAATGTTTTGGGTTCATATCTGCCATTAATTTCCCATGACGACACAACAATGTTAGAGATTTTCATAGCCAGGAATATATAGATCCAGGAGAATGGATGTTCAATAGGGATATATTTCAAAACATCTGCACAGCTTATTCCACTAGGGATCTGTCTCTGCTTCCTGGGCATCATTGGCAGAGGCTTTTACTGATTCTATATACAAAGCTGGGTGTTGATTGCTTCTCCACATCATCCTTTGGGCACAGTATATTACAGTCACCCTTATCTCCATGATAAAATGTGTCACGGCTCTCACCATGCATTCCAGACGGCCAGGTGTGGTCACCCCATAGGTGCAAGACAGGGGATTTAAACCTGGGTCCTTTGTTGTCCTGGGTCTGCTATACTGCCTTTGAGCCACAGATCCTGTACTTTTTAGTAGTTCTGGGTGGCTGGACTTCTTCTGTGGCTATTGCCTGTGCTTCACCTGAGGCAGATCACTCATCAGCTGGGTATAAAACTCTACACCTCCCTGAGAACATTGTCAATTCTTTAATTCTGGTTAATGTGTGTAGTTCTTGCGTTCTAGTTTCCTGAGCTTGTTATCCAGATTGACCCCAGCTTCTGACCTCTGAATGTCTCTTTGCAGTAACTAGGTCTTTTTGTCTTCTAATTGTTCACATAGTAAAGTCCCATAGATGGTGCTGACATGGATTAGCCAGGAACATGAACAGAAAATTGTTTTAAATATGTACCGTAATTTTCTTTTCCTCTTTATTATTCGTGTCAGCATCAATTATCCCTTCCTTTATCTGTCTGGATGCTTGGAAACTATACTACAGGAAAGAAGGTACTTGTATACCTGAATTGATTTTAACTTGGATTTTCATACCCCAATCAGCTGAGAGGGAGGAGCTCAACCCATAGGTTATCTGACATAGATAATAGTCAACAAAATAAAATTATGGTAAATACTATAACAATTTTATGTTTTTATATAACACCTCACATTGATCTTTTAACCAACATTCAAGTAGGGGAGTATTTGGGAAATAGTGATCACAATATGGTATTTTTTTAAATAAACTCAAAAAAGCAAAAGCACGTGGGGTATACTAAAACATATAATTTTAAAAAAGCCAATTTCAATAAGATTAGGGCAGCTGTACAACATATCGACTGGCATAAACTCCTTAGTGATAAAAACACTGAGGATAAATGGAAACTATTCAAACAAATATTAGAAAGGTACATTTCTCAGTATGTGCCATTGGGTAATAAATATACAAAAAAACAAATAAAAACCAATGTGGCTTAGTAGAGAAGTAAAACAAGAGATGAAAAATAAGAAAAGGGCATTTAACGCATTTAAATCAGACAAATCAGAGGCATCCTATATAAGATATAAGGAAGCCAATAATGCTTGCAAAAAGGCAATTAAAGTGGCTCAACTAGAAAATGAGAAATTGATAGCCAAAGAGTGCAAAACAAACCCCCAAATTTTTTTCAAGTACATCAATTCTAAAAAAACTAAAAATGAAAGTGTAGGTACACTGGAAACAGAGATGGGTTTGCTAATGAAGACCATGAAAAAGCAGAAATTTTAAATAACTATTTTTCTTCAGTATATATTAATGAGGATCCTATGGCAAGAAATTGATTGGCAAATGATTGCAGATAACTTGTGATTGGATAACTCGAGATAAGGTGCTACAGCTATTAAAGAAAATTAATGTCAATAAAGCTCCGGGGCCTGACAGTATTCACCCACGAGTACTTAAGGAGCTAAGTGAGGAAATAAGTGAACCTCTGTGTTTAATTTTTTAAGATTCTTTTGTTTCAGGTATTGTACCGGAGGATTGGAGGAAGGCAGATGTCGTTCCTATATTTAAAAAGGTTTCAAAATCCTTGCCTGGAAATTATAGACCTGTGAGCTTAATTTCTGTGACTGGTAAAATATTTTAAGGGCTATTAAGGGATAATATTCAGGAATTAATTGGGAAGAACTTTGTTATTAGCAATAATCAGCATGGTTTTATAAAACATATGTCATGTCAAACTAACCTTATTGCATTCTACAAATAAGTAAGTAGAAGTATAGATCAGGGTGTTGCAGTGGATGTGATCTACTTGTATTTTGCCAAGGCATTTGATACGGTTCCTCACATAAGGCTAGTCTTCAAACTAAAAGAAATTGGTCTAGATGAATATTCTTGTTCTTGGCTAGAACATTGGCTTAAGGATAGAGTACAATGAGTTGTCATTAATGGTAAATTTTCAGGCTGGACAAAAGTGGTAAGTGGTGTCCCTCAGGGTTCTGTTTTGGGACAGCTTCTATTTAACATATTTATAAATGATCTTGAAATAGGCATTGAAAGCCATGTATCAGGGTTTGCAGATGACACAAAACTTTGTAAAGTAATAAAATGTGAGCAGGATATTGCTTTGCTGCAGATGGATTTGGATAGATTGGGGGACTGGGCACTAATATGGCAGATTAAATTTAACGTAGAGAAATGCAAAGTTATGCACTTCGGGGTTAAGAATGCACAAGCAATTTACACCCTAAATGGTAGTGAACTAGGGATAATCACACACAAGAAGTATTTAGGAATTGTTAGAGACAACAAATTAGGCAGCAATATGCAATGTCAATCTGCAGTTGCTAAGGCCAGTAAGCTTTTGTCATGTATAAATAGGTGCATTAATTCTCGGGATGAAAATATAATTTTGTCTCTGTATAAATCGCTGGTAAGACCACACCTTGAATATGCTGTGCAATTTTGGGCACCTGTTCTAAACAAAGATATCATGGCACAAGAAAAAGTGCAGAGACAAGCTACAAAATTGATAAAAGGAATGAAGCATTTTAGTTACGTAGAAAGGTTAAAAAATTTAAATCTCTTTAGTTTGGAAAAACGGCGCCTCAGAGTGGATATGGTAACATTATACAAATATATTCGGGGTCAGTACAAACCTTTATCTGGAAATCTATTCATAAACAAGGCTATACACAGGAAACAAGGTCACACATTTAGAAAGGAGATTTCATCTAAGGCAAAGAAAAGTTTTTTTTTACAGTAAGAGCAATAAGGATATGGAATTCTCTGCCTGAAGAGGTAGTTTTGTCAGAGTCATTACAGATGTTTAAACTGCAATTGGATAAATACTTGCATAAACATAACATACAGGGATATAATTTCTAATTAGTGGGGCTGCTTGATCCAAGGAGACATCTGACTGCTATTTTGGGGTCAAGAAGGAATTTTTTTCCTAGTTTGTTGCAAAATTGGAAGCGCTTCAGACTAGGTTTTTTGCCTTCTTTTGGATCAACAGCAAAAACATATGTGAGGAAGGCTGAACTTGATGGACGCAAGTCTCTTTTCACCTATGTAACTATGTAACTCACACAAAAAGCATTTATTAATATGTATTACTGCTGGTAAAAAGAAAAACAATCTCTAAAAAATTTAATAATATTTTTAGAATATATAATCTATTAAAAAAAATACAACATACCAAATCATACTTGTTTTCCACATACCGCTTAGATTACCTGTAATTGAAGTACCAATCAGATTAGGGGTAACATAAGCAAAAATCATAACTAGAAGATTATATGAAATGTTCCTAATGCTTATTACATTACATAGGCTAAAAAGAGATGTGTCCTTGAAGTTCAGCCTTCCCCACATCTGTTTTGTGCTGTTGATCCAAAAGAAGGTAAAACAAAGTTTGAAGCACTTCAAATTTTGCACAAAAACAAAACTAGGAAAAAAATTAATTTTTGACCCCAGAATGGTAGTCAAATTTATCCTTGGATCTAGAAGCTAAATAAAACTATTTTCAACTGTAGGGTAATATAATTTATTAAACTAAAGAGGTTTAAAATTGTTAATCTTTCTTCATAGCTAAAATGCTCCATTCCTTTTATGCTAAACAATATATTCTCATTCTTCTTTGTCTTAATATTATTATATCTCAAAAAGAAGTTACTATATAAATGCGGTGTAATTTAATTATGCTCACAGCTTCGCCAGCAAAGATATTTTTTAATTTAAAATGAAACCACTAATTATGGCATTTGAATTGAGGCTGATCTTCACTAGCTACCATTGTTCATTAACATGTCAAATGAGTCAAAATATATTCTTATGCTATTTCAAGATGTTTATGCATCCGTGGGAATTATAGACACTTTCATTCATTAATAGTTAATCTATTAGATACCAACTGCCTTTTTATAAATGGTATGATAAATTTAAGTACTGGCTCTAAATTAACAGTAATAATATTATTTTGTAATTGGTGTCTGTAATTGAATGGGTATTTTTAAACTGTTATATTTTGCTTGAAAATGTACTGTGGACTCAGTGACCTTTCAGAATGATTTAGTTAGAGTATATTGTGCCTAACATAAATGTTGAAACAGGATAGAGATTTTAAAGTGTACCTGTAATTGATATATACATTCCATATCCTTGTACATCCTTTGCTCCGTGTAGTCTGAAAATAAACAAACTATATTTTTTAACCACCTTCTGTGGAGCTTCACTGAGTTTGCCTCATTCACCTTCTTCCTAATCGATACAGCAACGCCGTTAACCCGCTTTCATGGACAACAACTTTTCCCTATGGACAGCTTCCATTTAGGAAGCCTAGTAAGGCTTCCACACACTTTCTGTAATGATGCGGATGTGCTGGCTTCTTTGCCAACACATCATCTCATTGAATGGAGTGAATTCTGATGTCACTGCATTTATCTTTCCACGATAATTAGCCATGTTGGACTTTTGGGTGGAGAGTGGTAGGCAAATCTGTTATTCTCCCTCTATCTTCACTTTTATTATGTGTTAAGCACAAAGGTGTTTTTTTGTTCTTGTTTTTTTTGTACTTGTAGTGATCTACAAACGATTTGCGTGCATTTTTGTTTTTAAAGAAAAGCAATATAAAATAATTAATGGCTTGTATATATGTGTATGCGTGTGCAATAAACTTTTTCTATAAAATTTCGTGAGAACTCTTTTTGCATTTTTTTCATATTATTCCTGAGGTGCAATACGATTATGAATCCTTTATATGTCTTTATTTCTCAGTATTCCAAGTATTACAATCTAAAAACACAACAAAGCTATATAGTAATTTTCCCCCCATATTTTTCCTGTTTTATTATGTACGCTATGATTAGAAACTACTTGTCAGTCACACAGTTTAGAACACTCCCACATGCCTCTCACCTGCCTCACTCTCTCTCACTCTAACCTGCTTAGTGCAACTCACTTTCACCTGCCCCTGACTTATTCTACAATACTCTCACCCACTGCAACTCACACTAACCTGCCATTCATGCAATATACAACTTACATGTCATACACTGATACTTAGATAGGTCACTTTCAGGATAGATAACTTGTCATAGCAGGTGGCTGTCTGAAAAGGAGGCAGATTTAAAAAATGATGGAGGGACGTTTAAAAGGAGATCCTAATAGCAGGTACAGAGGAAGCTGGTGTGTGTGTGTATATATATATATATATATATATACA